GGGAAACTACCATATCAGGGCCCCCCAAAATAAACATATAAACCCTTTCTATAATAGTTTCCATTTTTCCATGACCCCAACATATCTCCAATATCTTCCCAATATACTCTAGTAGTTTCCATTTTCCATGATCCCTAAACCCTAAACTCCTAAGCCCTATATAATCCAAGCTGAGCTCTGGTCATGGTACCCGGCGGCGGCAGGATTGTTAGCCCGGTGATGCGAACCTGCCCCACATTATGGGCTCCGTGACCACCCTCCCCCCTTCGGCTTAGTTCAAGCTACTACAGGCTAGTCAAGTGGACATGATCTCCGGTCCCAGAATTATAGAAGAATGGAGGCTAAAGGCCCTTCTACTGTAGGCTCAGGCATAAGTTTTGGGCTTGCCAGTAAACTTTAAAACCCCAGGTGCCAAACTGGCAACCCTAGAATTACAACGAAAACCCCACCGTCAAACAGCCACTCTCGGTATCTCCACAAGAAACATCATCACATGCCTTTGTGAAAAGCAACCCACACAGAATTGTCGCGACGGACCCCCATAATCCAATTGTAAACCGTATCTATCCCTAGATTTTCTGAAGGCGCTCCTGTTTCGATTCCCCCTTCTGTGCCCCCAAAAACTTTAACCCTCGTTCAGGGAAGCGTAAAGGGATCTCTCATCAACCTCTCTTGACAGTTTCCACCCAGCCTGGTCAGGACCTTCGCGTCCCAGCAGCGATGAGCAAACCTTAAGACTTTTGGGGGTTTAGGGTAGGGTGACTTCAAAGAGGCTATAGAGATATAGTCCCCCTTAAGTAGATAGAATATAGCTTTGGGAATATTAGAAGAAGATCCCCATATATCCCATATTCTATCTGCCTAAGGGGGACTACAAGGATTGAGGGTGGCGGGCCTGAGTAGTCAAAAACGGGTTTTGTAGTTCTAGAGAGGGATACGGAAACTTGTCAAAATCAGGGCCTACTTTTTGGATCCTATGATAATACCGCCCGTCATTTACAGGATGTCCAAAAGGGACCATAATTGTGGTCTACCACAAGTCCCATGACGTGTGCATCATGCTTACTAGCCCTACAGTTGATACCAAAAGTCCTGCATGAATCTAAATATCCTGCACCTTGGAAATTATGATACCATAGCATACCAAGATCATGCAGGATTTTAAGGTACCACTGCGGTATGGGCGCTATCATCCTTGTGTATTCGGTTTGCTCCACCTGCTTTTGGGATTCTACTAGACTCTGATGTATGCACTACAGCTTTCCTTAGAATGAAGCTTTCTGAAAGCAAAGCCTGGAACTCCGAGCACCTGGCGCCCCAGTGGCATTTCAGGTCTCCGCGCATCTCGCACATGTAGCCTTTGAGGCTTAGGGTAAAGGTTAGGTGAACCCCCGACCCTGTAGTAGTTGTACAATAAGAATATAAGAGGACCCTAGTATTAAACACTCCGATCCCCTATAGTCACTATTACAGGGTGGGGGTTCCACCTAAGGTATAAGGTCAAAGCCCAGGGCTGAGGTGTCGGGGTTTGGGAGCACTACCTTGCAGCCTGATAGTTCAAAAGAGCCTGTACATGGTAGCTGTTCAAAATAAATACCGAGATGGCCATAATGTAGGTTCCCTGTTTCGTTAGGGTCCCCTTTTCAGGCAGCGTATTCCCAATGGTCCCTTCTTTGCAAGGACCGTAGAACAGCGCCCACATGGACTTCTGGTATTCAGTTGCCCAGATCATTGGTGTCTCCTAATGGCAGCCCCTCCCACTGCTGCTACTGCTACTACATCGACAATGATGATGACCACAAAGACTGCTGTTCCTAAGACTACTGCTTTTCCTCCTGCTTCTGATGCGACTATTGCTACTGCTGCCACTGCTACTGCTACTTCCACTACAACTGTTACCGCAACTACAACGACAACGACTACTGCTGCTACTACCACCGCCACCACTATGACGAGATGAGTTCAAAGAATTGCTGCTGCCTGTCAAAAGGCATCTACACCGAAGTCGGCCACTTTCGGAGATTCATGTTTAACACAGCTCAGCTGCATGTTTAGCATGTCCCAAACAAGCACGGCATTTTTGTGACCTCCTGCACGGGAAGAATCTTAGAGAGTACGATTTTTGGTCAGCTGTGGCAGATCTGAGAGATCCTGGACGTCTCGAGTGTAGTGGTGCGTTCCACAGCTACATAGTCTCTCAACTTTCTTGTAGACATGGGACAGCAGCAAGGCAGGCAAACCACTAAGCAACGTGCTCAAATAGCTTATTCAATAGATCCAAGACTTCCCACAAATCCAAACGATACACCCCAACGTTTAATGTTTCACCTGGGTACACGGATAGAACACAGCACGCTAGGGGCGCTCGCAGAGGACATCCACAGAGGTACTGGCTTGAAATAAACCCTGAGCATGCTATTCCTATCATGCTACAATGCCCTGGACACACCGCCGAAGATAGGACGGACTTGGTGGGATTGTTGCACCTGATCAATAGGGAGAAGGGCGTTCGTGCAGATTGCAGCTATGTACCAACCGTGGCATTTTCCAAAGCATGTACAGAGGCTTGGATGGGCATAGCAGATGCATGAACGGCAAAAACACCTACACCCTGAAACCCCAATCCAAGCACCTGTATAGTCTTTATTTAAAGTACTATACCCAAAACGGAGGATAACATCTGACTGTATGTCGTGGGCTACAGTATCCCCAAATGAAATACCACTGGCCTGAGCTTAAGACCCATGTTCGAGCGCCAGTATGGGGAACCCATTGTCCGCATGCCGTTAACGTGCCACTTCATGCCTGCGAGGCCAAGCACTCTTCCGTACTATGTGTTGATATTTCAAATCTTTCCATACTTCCCAAACTATAAGATGCTACGGGTCCTGCAGGATGTGTAATCAGTGTCCACGGTATCATGAAATCCTTGGGGTATGATCGTCTTTGTGTTGGAGGCAGTAAAAGACGGAAAGCAAAAATCCTTGTGGGGGCACAACCCAATTTGCATCAGAAACCTTGCCATCCCTGGACGAGATGTCTTACCTGATGAATACGCAGGAGTCAGCTCGCATGATAACTAGCCCAAACTGCCGCGCGTGACTTCCCCAATGGTTTGTGTGCTACTAATGATGCAAGGAGAATTATTGCGCAGGGGAGAGCTTAAATCTGGAGTTTCCTAGATGTCTGCTGCCATGCTACAATTCGAGTGCAAAAGCAAGAATTAGGTGCTTTTTGAAGTACCGCTCCTTTTTTGGAAGTACCCTATAGCATGAGTCTGGTTTCAAGGGGACAAGCACGGGGCATACGCCAAAGGTCTCAAAATCAGACCACTGGGCAAACGATGAGGTCCTTCCTAATGTTGCAGTTCTGATACTTTGCCCATCCATCGATGAACGTTAAGTCTAGGAAAGCATGCCAACGCCCACCAGAGAAGGAACTAGATTGGTCCAGGGACTTTGGTCAGTAGCCTCAGGATGGATGTACTTGGGGCTATCTGGGATTGGACTCCAGGATACTCAAAACACAACCAGCACCTTCGACTCTCCAGACATCGAAAGCTTCAAGAAGAGTCTAGTTATAGTAATAGTAGTAACAGTAATAGTAGTAATAATTGTCATAGTACCAGTAGCAATAAGAACAGTCGCAGTAAAAATAACAGTAATGGAAATCTATGAATGCTGCACTTGAAGCTCCGAGCTCAGCGATTTGATTTTGACAGTCAGTAAAGCTGCCTCTTTGATTACATGATTTAAACAGATTGCAAGGAATGACTGTTCCAAAATCATTCAGGCACCTGAATACCGCCCAAGTCCCAAACCTGGAGCCCCAAACCCTAAGCCCTATGCCCTAGGCCCCGTATCTGAAGCCGGAGAGCCCAAGCTTCAAACCCTGAACCCCAAGCACCCAGCCTTAGGCAGGTAACTTGAACCGTAAGCAGCCAATTAGTCAAAGCCTGAGAAGTTTCCAATGGTATAGCCTTAAAAATCTGTTTTTTTAGTTATTGTTGAATATACTGCTCAAACCTATTCTAATGAAACATGCCCCTACATTCTCTGCGGTGTAGGGGACCCCAGATGCCCTTCTTTCAGGATGAGGGCTTGAAACGTTTTCGGTGTCTAAAGGTGAAGATGTATGAAAACTGCGAATAGTCTCACTGGAATGTGGCGCTCACAGCAAGGAGCCCAACATACAAGTTTCCTGGGACAGTCCTCAAAAACAGAATCCTCAAGAGGACCTCACATGGTGCCATGAATCCCTCTGTTGCTAGGGTTTTGTTGGAACCTCCCCACGCGCATGATCCTCTGCACGTGACTTTTTGCGGCTGGAACGACGCTGCTTTGCGGCTGGAACGAAGCTGCAGCATGATGGACAGCCAAAAGGCCAGTGCTTCCTTCTGGGGAGGAGTCGAAGCCTGAACAAATACAACAGCCTCTTAGAGACTGATAGCCCTTCCGGAAGGATAATGTAGACCCCTGATTAATAAACCCCCTCCCCTTAATAGGGATCATAATAGGGATCCTAATATGTAGGCCCTTAAAAAGAGGGTGTTTATTAATCATGGGTCCCCATTATACAACACCTCAACCTTCTCAAGGTCAACACCATCTTTTGGGGTAGCAAGTGCTAGGGAGCGGGTATCAAGCCTGTATTTCTTAGAATCAGCTCTTCCTGACGTTAAGAAGCCAAGTCAGTAAGCCCCTTGCCGAGATGCCTCCGACTTTGAGAAACGTAACTCCGAGCAATCCCAAATCATCCTCAGAAGCCGATATAAACATATAAATGCCACTCCCTGAGCGTGGCCCAGAATAAACTTAGGTGTTACGTAATAAGTCCCGAACCCACGATGCAAAGCCTTCACCTAATACTTGCATGACAAAGCTGTTGGAAGCCTCTATGCAGGCCTTCTGGGTGCTTCTGGATGTCTCATCACAAGACAAGTAGAAGGCAAGTCTAATCAACGCCATACCTCCTAGCCCTGGTTGGGGCGCTCACGTCCTTCATGAGTATGCATACCCCTGGTCATTCTCGTCTTGGTAATCTTCTGCATCCTGGCCAAAAACATCAAACATGGCTTCAAGCAAGCCATAATTTCCACCATAGTGTGACTCGAGGTACTCGAACAGGTAGTCCTGCTGGGTTTCGTCGAGCGTGGCTTTGAACTGCTGGTTGGTCATCTTCCCCCCATACCACTTGTCCAGCTTGAACCATGCATCGCGCTGCTTACCGAGGTCGAGGCTGAAATCGTTGGCATGTTTTTCTGGAGCATCCTTTAAAGCCCACTGTCCAACCCACTGTGAGCTTCGAAGCTGGACGGGGCTTGTGGTCCTCTGCCTTGAAACAATGCCTGCGAAAGCTGTGCCTTCCCAGAAAAGGCGGGAAGCACAAAAAATGGCCAGAATTGTAGCCAGTCGAGCCAGAGACATGGATCCTCTTGCTGCAACTTCAATGGCGTCCTTTTAGACGCAAGATCGAAGGTTGTCAAACAAAACTACCCCAGGGAGGGTATACCGGTATGAAAATCTCTGGGCCTTCCTGCTGCATCTGGCTGTTTACATGAAGACTATAGCTTACGAAGGCACCCATCTTGAAACCATGAGCCTAGACGGCCAAGGATACAACCGCATACTTCAAGCACACAACACATTCCAACAGAGCATGGAGAACTCAAACCCTGACACGCCAGCTTGAAAAACCCTATCATGCCCATTCCCAAGATGACTAGCCAAGGTAAGGTGCTTACAGGCGGTTAGTAGGGAATAAGGGAGCATAATCCCTACAGCCATCCTCCGCGTACAGGATCCCTATGTAATTTTCCCTACCATAGTTTGGGATACCTTGCTGGGGGTCTCCAGAAAAAAAAAGCATTGTCACATTTGGGGGTCTGTATTGGGGTACCCTTATTTATTGAAACTACCATATCTCACGAGCCTGTTTCCGGACCAAGATGAGGACGTAGGTCACAGTTCAGCGAGGGGGTTGATTCCAAAGTCGAAATATAATAGAAGATTGTAGAGCCCCAAAACCAAAGACCAGTCATTTTCAGCAACCACCCGCTGGTCCTGACAGGGATCCTCCCAACGTGGAAGCCACATGTACTCTACATGTTCCGTGGAAAAGGGATCCGCCATGCGTGCCGGCCCTAGACCCATAAAACCCTCAAGCCTGGGTCCTAACCTGAAGACCGATTTCCCGCAATCCGAGCCTCAAGCCTTGATCCTTTTGTTCAATCCCCGAAACCCATAGGTATGCTTGCTTGAACCCTGCGGCACCGTTGAGGAAGTTCGGCGAACCGATCTTGTTGGAATCATGCCTGGGCGGCAACAAGGCTTAAGCTTGTAGAATTCAGGGTTTAGGGCTTTGGGTTCAGTTGGGGTGTAGGGTTTGGGCTTTTAGGATGTGGCCTGACCTGGATCTGCAGATTACCAGAAAACCAGAATACTCGGTATTGCAACTGCAAACGGCCACACGTTGGAGCTTGGTTGCAATTCAAGTTCAACGCCCAGGCTGAATCCCGACCCAAAGTCCAAAATTCTAAGAAACCGCTGGCCATGAACAAAAGCATAAAGACTTGCAGTATCCCCCATTTTCTAGCTACCTTAGAAGGGCGACAAATCGCAAAGTAATCTCTATAGCCTGATCCTGAAAAGCCCACCCTCGACATATACACCCTGAACCAAAAACCTGGCACCCTAAATACCTGATAGATGCCGAGTGCCGCGCCAAATCCCTTGATCTGTTAGCACCTACGCGGCGATGTTCTTACTGCAGCACTCAGATTTAAGCCCTATTTGGGGTTAGGAATCTACGATTTGGGATTGGGGCGCGCAAATGGTCAGCGTTTGGAAGTTCAGGCTTTCAAAATGGGGTTCAGGGCTTAACTGGTAGGGGCTTTGGCTGGGACGTGAGCGCTCAAACATCGGGGCCTGCAGTTTCAGCCAAAGACATGTGGGCTCTCGGGTTTCCTGGTTAGGGCGTAGGATTTACCTGGCCCCAAACAGACGTGGGACAGAGGATTGTTGTCCTTGTAGGGCCTCTCTGGGGCTCCAACACCAAAGCTACGGCATAGTGCCACCAACTTGGGTCCGAACCATGAATTAGCAAACCCTAATGTAGACCTGTGATTACTGAACCCCCTCCTTTAGGGCCCTAATGTTAGGATCCCTATTATAGTCCCTATTAATGGCAGTGGGTTGTTTAATCAGTAACAATTGTGCCAAGAACTCCGCACCCTGCAAGTTGTCAGGCCTGGAAGTCCCCACGGAGCTAATGCAAACGGAGGTCTAGGTCTAAGTTTGGGGGCTATGGGGATGATGTTTTGGGCTTCGTGGTTTGCATATTGCAGGAGACAACTCCTTGGCGCAAGGAAGAACATGAATCTCGCAGCTGCTATCTCGGAGTAGAAGCGGCTTTTCTGCAAAGGACAAACAAAACCCATTCCTTTCGTGGCTGGGCGTATCTTTGCAAGGACTGAACTTGCCACGACCCAGATGGAGTCTGGTGAGACTATATTTATAAGGGCCCCCAAATCCTGATAAACGCCAAGAAGGACTCCTTCGAGAGTGGTTACAAGGGAACTTAAGGGTCTTCAAGGGCTTTCCCCATTTTGGGAGCCCTGAAGATCTACCTATAGTAGTTTCCATTTTCTTTTCATTACCCCAATATAACCCTATAAAACCCTGAATGTATTATAGTACTTTCCATGTTATTTTCCATTATCCCTAAACCCTATATAATCCCTATAGTAGTTGTTTGCATTTTCTTTTCCACTATTGCTATATAACCCCTGATTTCAAGCTCAGGGCCTTGAATTTGCAAGGCTGCCGCATCAACCTTTGCAGGCGGTAGGGAGGGCTCAGAATAGCTGGTTGTATCGGGTTTGGGGTTTAGGGTGTAGGGTTGAGGGTTTGGGGTTTGGGTTTTAGGGTTTAGGCTTCAATTCTTCTTCTTCATGAAAGCTAGGCCCATCAGGTGCGCAAGGAATTCGACATGCTGAGGAAAGCCATGAGGCTTTCAGAGTGCACCCCTGATGAGTGCGATAGACTTACTGGCAGTTAGTACGGAATGAGGGAATATATTGTATTCGGATTGTATTCCCTTATTCCCTACTAAAGATGAGTAATTCAAACAGCAAAGAGATCCGCGAACTCTCACTGAAACCACGCAGACCTTGCCACGACCCATTATGTGGCAACACTGACTGAAAGCAGCCAGTGTATCACTAGGCGGCGATATACAGGTGACCAATGCTTTCAAGTCCCAGGGTTTCGGATGTAAGTTTTGTTGTTTGGGGATTTCACACGTAAAGTGTAGGGAATGAGGTTTGGGGGTAGGGTCTCAGATGGTGGCTTTTGAGGGGTTGGGAGGGGGTTGCGAGGGAGCGCTACCATCAGAACGAATAAGAAGCTTGTGGCCAGTTGGAGCTTCAAGGCTTATAGTCCCTGCGTGTAAAAATTAAACCCCAAGCGCACGAGAGGGACCTTCGGCATTTGAAAAAGTCTGCCACCTCGCTCATGCATAGCGCTCGCAAAAGAACAACCCCATATACAACCTAACTCGAATCCTCCGATGGACTGGGTTCAGACCAGCCTGTTCTAACCAAGTAACAGCATATGAGCCATAGTCTAA